CTCGGACAGCCGAGCTGCCCTTCCGCTCCCGCCGGAGAGCCGAGCCCGCCAGTCAGGCGGAGCTCTTCCACCGAGAACTACCCGAGCCGCACCCCCCGCCACGGACGGAGGCAGCGCAGCCTCTCAGCCGCGTCGCGTGGCCAGCCGGCGCGCCGCCCCGCCCCATCAGCATCGAGCAGCTGTGGGAGGACGGCCTTTACGCCCGCGAGGTGCGCCCCACCATCGCGGCCAACAGCCTCGCCGTGAAATCCAGAGTACGGCGAGCGACAGCCGAGAGAGCGATCGCGGAGCTCACGGCGCGCCCCGCCGAGCCGACGGAGGCGCGAGCCGCCGAGCTCGCGCGCCTGCGCGCGATCGCCGCCGAACCGCTCCACAGCTTCTCGCGCACACGGGTCTTCGGACCCGAGAGGCTCCAGCCGTGGGCGAGGGGCACCCCCTGGGACTGCCAGGACCCCGCCGACTGTGTGCCGTGCCAGCCCTCCTCGCGCGACGACCCCGTGGCCGACGACGTCAACCACGACTTCTTCGCGGAGCACGGGCGCCGCCTCGACTGGCCGGACCGCGAGATGCTCCGGCAGCTCGGCGAGAGCAGCGGCCTCGAAGGCGCCAGCCGCTGCGAGATGGCGACCGTCATCATGCCGCACCATAAAGGGCTCCAGCAGCACATCCTCCCCGCCGAGGAGTCCATCCGCGCCGACACAGCGCGGCGCTGGATGTCGAGCGGGCGCGCCGATCTCCCCTTCGTGCCTTGCCGCTGCGTCGCCAAAAACTGCGTGGAGCGCAGAAAGTGGAAGCTCGACGGCGACGCCCTCTACGAGAGCATCCGCTTCCGAGTGACGACCGACGACTCGATCGACGCCGAGGATGCGCTCACCGGCCAGTCCGCCGTGTCGCGCAACCACGGCATCTTCCTCGAGGAGTGGCCGAGGGCTTGCCTGCCGCGCCCGCAGACCCTCGCGGAGGCGGCCGCCATAATCAGGTCGCAAGCCGCCGAGCTCGGCCTCAGGCTGTCCGAAGGGGCCATCGAGCGAGTCGCGCTCTGGGCGATCGACCTCCGCGATGCCTACCGCCGCCTCGCCGTACAGCGCAGCGAGCAGTGGCAGCAGTGCTTCATATGGGCCGACGGCGTGCGGGTGGACCTCCGCGCCGTCTTCGGCTCCGCCCACCTCGTCGGCCTTTTCCAGCGCATATCGTCTTTCGTACTCGCCGTCGCCTCAGGGCGCATCGACGCCTACGACGCGCAGCACCCGCCCCCGCGCGCCAGGCGGCGCTGGCAGGAGCTGCGGCGGGCGCTAGGGCTCGGGGGCAGAGCATCCTTCCAGATGATCTACCTCGACGACGCCATGGGGTGCGCCAGCGTCGAACCGAACGAGCAACGGCTGCCGGACGGTGAATGCCTCAACGGCGTCTGGAGCGACGAGGGCGCCACCCTCGACCCTCCCCCCCCGCCTTCCGCCGCACGCGCCGACGTTCACCTCGGAATCGTCCGCGCGACCTTCCTCGAGGCCGGCTGGGAGATCGCCGTCGAGAAGGTCCAGGCGGGGTTCACGATTGAGAGCCTGGGACTGGACGTCGCCACCGAGGGCGAGCGGGCACCCGACGGCGCCATCATCGTGCCCGAGGCAAAGCGGCGCGGGATCATTCGCGAGTGCGAGGCGCAGCTGCGGGCGGCCGAGGCCGGCGAGCGCTTCCCCATCGCGCTCGCCGAGCGTACCGTCGGCCGCCTAACCAACATCTCACAGATCGTACCGGAGGCCGGAGTCTTCATGGCGCCGCTCTACAGCCTCATTCACACGGAGCTGAAGGTCGCGACGGGGCAGGCAAAGAAGCTCCTCCCAGCCGCCGCGCGCGAGAGACCCTCCGGACCCGCTCGGTGGGCTCGCGAGCGCGGACGGATCACCTTCAGCTCCGAGCGCCGCGACGGCCGCCACGCGCGACGGGTGAGCTCGTACACCGAGAGCCTCTCCTGGTGGATCCACGCGCTGCAGCGCGGCGTGAGCGTGCCGCTCGCGTGCGAGACGCGTTTCCCGCCGCTCGGCGAGCCGGGCGTCATCGCCGTCTTCACCGACGCCGCCCGCGAGGACGGCACGGGCGCCGGCGGCTTCTGCGCCGTCGTCATCAGAGGCGAACCGCTCTTCCTGTACTCCTCCTGCGAATGGCCGGCCGACATCAGGCAGGCCCTGCAGCAGGATGAGCTGTCGATGCCGGCCGGCGAGATGGCCACCGCCGCCGGCCTCGTGCCCGCGTTCCTGCGAGAGATCCGCTCCCGCAGCGCCGAGGTCACGCACACCTACCTGTTCACGGACTCGGACGCCACCCGATCGACCGTCAACCGCGACGGCTCGCCATCGCCGCAGCTCAATTTCCTGCAACTATTCCTCGTCGCCGCCATGGACAGAGCCGCGCCGGCCGCCCGCCGCCCACCGCAGCTCCTCGCCGTCCATGTGCCGGGCGTCCGCAACTGCGCGGCCGACGCCCTCAGCCGGATCCAAGACCGAGCCAGAGTCATCCGAGAGATAGCCGAAGCCTCTCCCCTCGCCCCGCACGAGGTCGCCTTCCCAACCGCCATCACCGACACCATGCGCGAGGCGCTCGCTTACCCTCAGCGCCACAACTGACGCAGGGCCGACGAGCCCGCGCGTCCGCTCTGGGCGCGTCTCGAGGCTCGCGCCGACGGCGGGGAGATGGAGCCCGAAGACAACCGAGGCAGGACGGCCGCGCTGCGCTACTTCAAAAAGTTCGCCCGCGCCGGGCACGACCCGCAGCGGCCGCTCTTCCTGCGGCCGTCCGTCTTCGGAGAGATTGACCCGGCCGTGCACAACGAGCGCACTTTCATCCTCTTCGCCGCCTATCTCTCCGACCCGTCCACGATCTCCGACACGACTGGGAGACCATTGGAGGCGCGCACTCGCAAGTCCTACGTCGAGTCCGCAGTCGCGGCTCTCAAGGACCGCTTCGGCGCCTGGCTCGTCCCCTCGAAGCGCAAGCTCAAGCGTATCCTCGAGCACTCGCTCGCCGGGCTGCCCGCCGGCGACCGCGCCAAGGGGACCGGCATCCGACTGACACACATCCGAGGCGCCATAGAGCGAGGCATGCCCACGACCGCCTCGGCCAACGTCGCCAACGCGCTCGCCATGGCGCTCTCCGCGATCCGCCTCTTCCTTCGAGGCGGCGAACCCCAGTACATCCGCGAGCGAGACGTCCGCTTCGAGCGCTGCGGGGGCGATGACGCGTGCGCCATCATCAACGTCCTCCCGTTGAAGAAGCGAGGGCGGGCACGCGGCCAGCGCGTCCCCATGCGCATTTTCCCCGCATGGCGCGCAGGGGCGCCGGACGTGGCATGCGCCTTCGCTGCCATCCGCCGCCTCCTCGTCATCGACGCCGTCGGGCGCGACCCCGACGGCACCGGGCCCTTCTTCCGCATTCGCCAGGGCGCTGGATGGCGCCCCTTCGCCACGACCGACGTCGCCGCGCACGCCCAGTACATCGCTCGCCACGCGGGCGTGCCGCACGGGAGCGTCGGCGGCAAGGCGTACCGCATCGGCGGCGCCACCGACCACGCCGACGGCGGCGGCACTCCCCTCGAGCTAAGGCAGCAGGGGCGCTGGGACAGTGACCTCGCCTACATTTACGCTCGAGTCACCACGGGGCAGCAGCGCGCCGCGCACGAAGCGATGCAGCGCGCCAACACGGTCACAGTGGAAAGCCTGCACCCAGAGTGGACGCAGCCCGGCGCCAACTGAACCGCCCTCCCCGCGCTCCCCGCACGCATGATACCGCGCCTCCACCTGTGAGCCGTGTTCGTGCCTTACGTGTACCGGACAACCTTATCGCGCCCTAAATGCCCCCCGCGTCGGGCACATGCCCCGCGCACGGAGCGCCACGGGGAGCGCGCTACGTCGAGCGGAGCCGAGTTAGCGAACGCCAGGCGCCGATCGCAACTCGTGACCCGAGAAAAGAAAACGCCGCCCGCCGCCGCCCGCCGCAAAGGGCCCCCCCGTGTCGGGCACATGCCCCGCGCACGGAGCGCCACGGGGCGCGCGCTACGTCGAGCGGAGCCGAGTTAGCGAACGCCAGGCGCGTATCGCAACTCGTGACAAAAGAAAAGAAAACGCCGCCCGCCGCCGCCCGCCGCAAAGTGCCGCGTAGCAAGGACTCATGCCTCCGCCATGGGCCACGCTCCCGCCAGCCCCCGACCCTAGGGTCTCCGGGCAGCCATGGCCGAGCGAGGCGGAGGCGGCCATCGCCTTCAGAGAAGCCCGCCGCCGGGGCGGGGAGAAGACGTACGTTGCCCTCGGGCAGGGAAAAAGCCGTCTCACCTTCCAAGGCGCCGGGGGTTTCGACACGACCGAGGCGCAGCTCCAGGTGAGCTTCGCGAACCACGTCGTTGCGCCCTTCTTCTGGAATCACCTCACCAGCGACGTCGGCGGCAGGCACGCCCTGGACGCCGCCGAGCGATCCTTCATCGAAAGGTTCCGAGCCACGCTCCGAGCACAACCCGACAGTGCCGGCAGGGTGAAGTACTGGGAGCTCCTCGCCGCGGTCGAGTACGTGGCCTGCAAGAGCCACGCCAAGAAAGTCGGCAAGTGGGACCCCAAGGGGCTCCTGCGGGACCACCTTTCAGACTCCGCGACCTCGGCGGAGGAGGACGAGGACGGCTGGTAACCGTTCACTCACTCAATTTGGGGATCCTCCACGCGCTGCGCTGCGCCACGGAGTCGCTCACCCCGGGATCGCTCCTTCCCTCGCTCCGGTGGGGAAACTCTGAGCTCCCTCCACGTACGCTACGCTCCCTTCGGAGAGAGCCCCAGAGTCTTACCGCGCTCCGGATCCTCTTTAGCCCATCTCTGAGAGTTAGAGTGACTGGCTAGAGACGACGACGACGATACAGTTCACGGAGCACACAATCCACTAAAACCCCTCCATGCGGAAATCGACACTATCCAGCTCAAGTGCTCAAGTACGTCGTACAAGCAGAGCACACACGTCACGACGGCCGCATGCCGAGCCTGTCGCAGCACTGCTTCGAGATCCAGGGCAAGGATTCTGCTGCGGACAAATCAGCATCACTCTTACCGAATATCGGAGTTACGCACACAGTATTCCCACCGTCGCGTCACCAGGCCCTCGGACAGGTCGAGTGCTCAGTGCTGATGGGCGAGGTCGAGTCGTTTGCTGCAGCATACCAGCAGCAGAGACAGGCCTTCTCCAAGAGAAACGCAGGCGGCAACGGACTGTACCATTCATTTGGGATCTGGGTGACCCTGCGGCTCCTGAAGCCGCGCGTGATTATTGAGAGCGGTGTGCTCAATGGGCAGACATCGTGGCTTATGCGCCAGGCCACCAAAGCGTGGCAGCCGTTGTTATTGCGGTTCGACCCCGGCTCCATCAAGAAGCCGCCGTGGCGCGACACATTATCTGGGCTGACGCTCGACTTTATCGGGCCGGACTTTGTGGACTTCAACACCGTCCCATGGAATTGCAACCTCACCGAGGCCAACATTGCCTGGCGGAATGTGTCCCGCAAGCTGGCGCAGCGGGCGACCGGGCTGCTGGCATCGGCGCCCCCGATTTCGGAGTGGCTCGTGTTCTTTGACGACCACCACGACCACCTGCTCCGGGCATCGCAGGCCCGAGCCTTTGGCTTTCGCCATCTGCTTTACGATGACAACTACCTGCCAGGCTTTGGCGACTCGTTCTCGCTCAAGGCGGCATGCAATGGTGGCAACCCGCGCCGTGCATTTGCCAACCGAAACCGGCCCTTTCGCCGATGCGTCTCCTTTCATAAACAATGCCACGTGATGGATGAAGACGAGGCTGCTCGAGCTCGAACTGAGTTTGCCGAGCTGATCGAAGCCTACTGGGAGCCCCCACCGCTCGGCCCACTGCACGTGCCGGCGGCGGCGGCTGCCACCGCGGGCTGGACGGGACAGCAACGCGCCTTCGGACAACTATTGCGGGTTGCAAAGTGGGCTGAGGGTCCAAGGGTCGACGCCTTTACTGAGGAACAGAAGGCCCTCATGCTTGCCGCAAGCAGACCTCCCCTCTTCGAAAGCTACGTCGCAGCCGCCAACGCATCAGGGACTTCGCTGGCGGAGGTGGTACACGAAGCAGGGAACTATGTCAACCTTGCCTACGCCCGACTTCGTTTGGGCCCGCCGGCGCTCGAGCGAAAGCGCATCAGGTTGAATTCACATCATCAAGCAGTCATGGCCACGCTAAAAGAGCTCAATTCTGCCGACGGCGAAGCTCTTGTCACGCAGTCACTCTGCCACCACGCCGTCGTCCCGCAGCTTGGGGGCCGAGGCACCGTGTCTAAGGCGGCTGTGCGTGCGTATGATCACCATGCTCGAGGTGGCGACCTGCGGCAGGTGCATGTGAGTTTGTGATATATACGTGCATGTGCATGTGCATGTGCATGTGCATGTTGCATGCACAACATGCGCATGCACATGACATGATCATGTTGTACAGCGCAGAAAGCCGAGCAAGCGAAAATGAGGGTCAATGCGCTTACGCAAAATCCCACACACTGGTGCGTGGGGTGGGATATTTGGGTCGTGTGCTACCCTCTAGCTCTTCTCTGACTCCGGTTCCGCACTCAAAACAATATCCTCGCGCCGCCTCGATCCCCCACATACGAACACCTACAAGCACGGCGCGCCCACGCCCGCGCGCTACGCCTGCTTGGCCGTCAGCCCAAAGGGCAGGCCGCCGCCGCCGCCGTCCCCCTGCCCCTTCGCCGCGGTGAGCTTGCCCACCGCCGCCGCGCTCAGCGCCTGCTCGACCACGCCCGCCAAACCGGCCCGGGGGCCCGGGCTGTCCCGCATCGGCAGTACGGGCATGATGTACTCTATATTTGCCGCCTGCATGTATGCGTGGCAGAAGAGGAGCAGCCGCGACTTGGCCGCGTAGATGGCCATGATCTCGTGCGCGGCGTACACGCTCGTCGGCCAGATGTTGAGGAGCAGGTGCCCCTTGTCGAGCGCGGCCTCGCCAAACTGGTTGTCGCACGCGCTCCAGTCGCCCGACCCGTCCGAGACGTACGAGGTGATCGCCTCGAGCAGCTCGTTGATCTTGCTCGACTGCGTGGCGACCGGCACCATCAGCTGGACGAGCAGCGTCAGCTTGCCCGAGCGCGACAGGTTGGTCAGCGCCATGTTCTTGACGGAGCTGTTGCTCACCACCATCGCCTCGCCGTTGGCGGTGAGGAAGTGCGTCCGCATCACCTCGATGTCCTTGACGATGAGCGAGTACAGGACGGGCCCCTGGCCGGGCGTGGCGACGTACACGCGGTCGCCGATGTCGTACGGGCGCGTGACGTACGTGAAGAAGAAGCTGCTGAACACCTCGGCGACCAGGCCGCCGGCGAGCGAGAAGAAGACGAGCAGCGCCGAGGTGAGCGGGATGAGCATGCTGACCAGGTTGATCCGGATGAAGGGGAGCCGCAGCAGCAGCACGAGGAAGATGAAGGCGACGAGGACCTGCAGGCCGCGCAGCAGGATCTTTTGCAGCCGGTCGAAGCTCTCGACCGAGGCGGTGAGCAGCCGCTGCTCCTTGTACGAGCGCTCGACCACCTTGCAAAACTGGTCTCTGTCGACCAGCTGTCCGTACGGGAAGAGGTCGGCCGCGAGCTTTGGCGGCGGCGGACGCCGGTCGCCCTGGTAGGCCCAGCGGAGGAGCGCGTCCCGGTCGACGGACGGCTCCTCCTTCTCGCCGCTCGTGCGGCCCGTCCGCCTCGGCGGCAGCGTCACCAGGCCCTCCTCGCGGAGGAGCAGGTTGAAGATGCGCTGCGCGCGCCGGCGCGCCTGACAGAGGCTGGCCGCCTCTGCGAGCTCAGAGCCGAGGTCGAGCGGCCCGGCCAGCCTCTGGAGCTGCTGCTGCAGCTTGCTGAGGCCGGAGAGGTGCCGTGAGAGCAGGCCCTCGCCCGCCGCGTCCCGGGGCGACGGCCGCATCGGGTAGGCGCGCCGCCGCTCGCAGCTCTTGGCAGCGGCCGCGACCTTGCGCAGCGCCGCCTGCTGCTCGTAAGCGGACTGGGAGCGGTCCTCGTAGTGCTTCAGCGCGAGCTGGTTCTGCGAGAACTGGACGGCGGCGTCGAGGAGGCAGAACGCGAGCGCTGCCGCCAGCATCCACATGCTGGCCGGGACGAAGGAGGGCAGCTCGTAGAGCCGCTTCCAAGTCAGCCGGTCAAAGTAGAGGAGACGGAAGACGCCGTTCGTCGCGGGGAAGAGGATCGCCGGGGGGCAGAGCGGCATCGAAAAGATGCTGTGCAGTAGCAGCACCACGATGCCGGGCAGCGTGCGCAGGATCGACGGGATGCTCAGAAAGGAGATGACGACGAGCGAGAGGAGGCGCGCCGCAGCGAGCGAGTAGAGCGGCCGCGCGATCCAGAGGATGAGGTATTGGGCGAGTCGGATGTCGTCGTCCGGCCCCCAGCCATCCGAATCGTCGGGCTCAGCGTACAGCTTGGGGCCCGTGACTGCGCCAGTGCATTTGGATAGAGACATGCATCTTGGATCAATCTTTGACGGCGCCTCGACGAGGATGACTGCAACGGGCACCGCGAGCAGGAGGGCCGCGCCGGCCAGCTCGCGGAGCAGCAGAACGCCCAAGCTGAGACTGCACTCGGAGAACGTCGGCATCATGCGCCGCAGCCGAGTGAGTTGAGATGGCGGCGGCTTGTCTGCGCCTTTGGGGGCCCACACCGGCAGGTGGTCGGTCGAGCCGAGGATCGGGTCGAGCTTGTCGCCGATGCGCTCCCCGCTCTTCGGCCTCTTGTCGCCGATGCGCTCCCCGCTCTTCGGCCTCTCCTCGGCCGCCCGATGGCTCGCGTGCTCCTCCTCCTCCAGCTCAATCTCCTCGAGGATCGAGTTCTCGACTCTGTCGACGGCGCCCACTGGAGTCATCGAGGCATTCATGTCGTGCACCATCTGCAACGCCTCGGCAAAGTTGGCCGACTCGGCAACCACCGAGCCGCTCCTGCCCCGGTCGCTCTCCGCCATCGTGCCGCTGTGTGACTACCGAGACTTGTTCGATAGCGCAGCCAGGAAGGAGGAGACGGATTGCATAATAGCGGAAAAAAATAAGAAAACACAAGGGACACACACCCCAAGCGCTGGGGGTCTAGCTCACCTGTTTTCCACGTTGTCCCTTGCGTCCCTGGTGCTCTCCGTTGGTTGTTTTCCGTCCTTTTTGCTTTTTCTCGCGTTCTCCCGGTTCCCGTTTTTCCGACTTTTCCGATCGGCCAAGTTTCGTGTCTCGCTCTGCATGCTCCGCCTCCCCGCGTCGTCTCTGCTCTGCGTCGTCTGGCGACTAAGGGAACCTTAAGTAGTACAAGAATATGGGAACACAAGCAGCACAGCGGTATCACCATCTTCCCCAAGTACAGTGTGCTACGAACAGCCGGGGAGCACCGTGCGCGCGCCGTACCGCGTACGCGGCTACAGTCATGTCAACTCAAATCGCGGGGCATCCGCTAGAACAAATGGAAGGTTCCACATCATGCCGAGACATCAGGAGAGGATCTGGACGCGCAAGAGCCGTCGCGTGGCGCGAGCGGCTTGCATGGGCGTGCTGCTGCGGCTCTCAGCCCTCGCCGGCGCCTCGTCTCCTCCGGATCTCGCCGTCGACACCGACGGCGGCGCCGCCCCCAAACTCGTCCAGCAGCTTCTGCAGCTCGCGCGCGCCCTTCGCCTTGGGCCCGCGGCCCTCCCCGACGGCTGGCTTGCCCGACGGCTCTCCGCTCTCGCTCGGGTCTCGCTCGGCGTCCTCCTCGCTCTCGGCGGCAGCGGCCGCGCGTGTCGCCGCAAGCTCGGCGTGGCCCTCGCCGCTGAGGGCGCGGCCCTCGCCCCTGAGGGCGTGGCCCTCGGCCAAAGGGGCGGCGGCGGCCAGCCCGAGGTGGTAGGCTGTCCCCGACTCGGTCACCACGCGCGCGTGCGGCTGCAGCGGCTTCAGCCGCTGCTCGAGAGGGACGGCGCTCGTGCTGATGAGGGTGCCGTCCTTGAAGCCCGCCTTGCCGTACACCCGCCCCGTGAGCCTCCCGTCCTCCTCCCACCGCCAGCTGCAGAGCGTGGGCTCCCCGTCCGCGCCGCGCGCCTCTGCCGGCGTGGCTGGCGCCGCGGCGAGCAGCTGCTCCAGCTCGGAGAGCAATCTCGGGTGCGGGCTCAGGAGGGAGCGGAGGGCGGAGTCGGTCGGGCTTCGCGAGGCCTCGGCCGAGCCGTTGGCCGCCGCCCCCTTGCGCGCCGGCGGCGCCTGCTCGGCCGCCCCAAAGTGGGCCAGCAGCTGCGTGAGCCGCTCAAACGTGTCGGGCTGCGACGCCAGCAGCTGCTCCTTGGCGGCCGCCACAAACGACTCCATCGCGCCCTGGAGCGGGTTCGGCGCGGGCGGCGGCGCGGCGGCGGACGACGTCAGATTGGCCTTGGCGCGCGCGTCGTCGCGCTTCTTCTTGCCGCCAAAGGTGTCGGGCAGCAGCCGGATCTGCGAGAGGCCAACCGTCTGCTCGTCCCAGTCGTCGTAGCGCACGGAGTAGCCGCCCTGCTGGTTGGTCGAGAGGATGGTCCCCTTGTAGTAGCTGTCCTCCCCCGGCCAGGCGGCAATCACCTCCAGCCCATCGGCGACCGCCTCCCTCTGCGGCGGCGCGTCGAGAACCAGCTCGCGCACGGTGACCCACTGGTCGGCGCCAGAGTCGAGCCGGACCAGCACCCACTTGGAGGAGGACTGCACCCTCTGGATGACGCCGTGCGAGAACTTGATGAAGGACAGGCGCGCCCACACCGGGGCCCCAATCACGAAGCCCTCCGCAATGAGCTCCGGCGGCGGCCGCTTCTTCGGCCTCTCCGCCGGCTCCTTGGCGGCCGCCGGCGCCGCGCCGCCGGCCGCCTCCGCGCCGCCCGCTGGTGCGGCCTCCGCGCTGCCCGCCGCCGCGCCGCCCTTGCTTTTGCTCGCCTTCCCCACGGACTCCGCCTTGCCCTCGGCGCCCGCCGTCCGCTCTCGCTCTGCAGCGCGCTCTTCGCGCGGCGACGGCCCCGCCGGGGCGGCGGGCTCGGGCGCCGGCACCGCCACCTTTGCGAGCGGCTTGACGGCCGGTGAGCGGACCTTCGTGGGGATCTCGCCCTGCAAGTCCCATTTGCGCAGGTGGACGACGGCGCCGGAGCCGAGCTGCAGGCGCACCCAGCCGTTTCCCACGTGCAGGACCGTCGCCTTCTCCCCCGCGTGCGCGCCGGCCGCCACGGTCACCTCGGGATTTTTGCCGCCCGGCGCGCTGTTGGTCGCGCCGATCGACGCCAGCGGGGCTTGCTTCTGCGGCTTCTCGGCGGGCTTGGCGACTGCGTCGTCCGATTCGGACTCGGAGCCGCCAGAGCTCGTGCGCGGCGCGGTGGCGGCGCGCATGCGGCGCGTCATCTGCTGCGGTGGCTTTGTGCCGCCGGGAAGCCGCACGCCCTCGGCGCCGCGCAGCCTGAGCACGACGTGGGCAACGGCCTTGGCAGCCGGACCCGCCGCCTTGGCGCCGCCCTTGGCCCGCGCGTCCGCCTCGTTCGCCCGGTCGATCAGCTCCTGCTGGTGCGGGAGCAGCGCCTGGTCGCCGGGCGGCACCCACCTCCACTCGTCCTCGTCGGTCACCCACTCCCTCCGCACGTACCCGTCGAGCTTGACCCGCAGCCCCTTTCGCATGTCGACAGAGACAACCTCGCCGCGGTACGGCACCGACACCATCTGCTTGCCCTGCCGCTCCTCGTACGAGACCTGCACGCGCAGCCCGATGGCGGCGCGCGGCGAGTACCCGCGCAAGTCGATCACATCCTCGAGCCGGCCCTCGTCGTCGTCGTCGTCGTCGTCGTACTCGTCCTCCTCCCCCCCCCCGTCCTCCTCCTCGCTGTCCCACGCGCGCGCGCCCTCGTCGAGGCGCTGCCGCGGCGCGCCGCGCCGCTGCCCCGCCGGGACGCCCTCCTCGCGCTCTCGCCTTCTCGCCGCCGCGCCCTCGACCCGCACAGCGCCGCTGCCGCTGTCGGCACGGCCCACCGCCTGGAGCAACGCCGCCCCGCCGTTCCGCTGGTCCAAGCCGATGTGCGGCTTGAGCGAGGCCATCTGCTCCGCGTGCCCGCCCCACGGCGCCGGCGGCACAACCACCGGAGCCGGCAGCGGTGGCGGCGCGGCGGTGCGCGACGCGGCGCCAAAGCCGAGGAGCAGCGCCGCGACACTGTCGTCCTCTGCGCACGGTGTAGGGGCGGCCGGCTCGGGCGGAGGCGGTGGCGGGGGGAGCGTCTCGTTGGCCAGGAGCTGCGGTGGTACGTATGGCTGCTCCTCCTTCGGCGGCGGCTGCATCGCGTGCGGCTGCGGCAGAGGCATCGGACTCGGGGGCACCGGCGCGAGCGCTGGCGGTGCGGGCTGAAGCGGTGGCTGCATAGCGAGGGCGATGGCGCTCATTCCGCCGGCCGCCGGCGCGAGGTGTCGCGAGGCGTCGTTGCCTCCCGCCCGGCCAACAGCCACCCGCGGCTCGACTGCTTGCTGTGTCGGCGCTGCGGTGCACGGCGCCGGAGGGGAGCCTCCCCACGCTGCCTGGAGGAGGAGCTCCGCAGCGTCGTTCCTGGTCGGCGCCGGCGGCGCAAGCGCGGCGGCGGAGGCTGCGGACGCCTCCTGGAAAGACGCCGGGGCGCCCGTACCCTCGCGTGCTGCAGCCGCAGCCGCGCAAGGTGCTGCAGGCTCCGCCGCCGCAGGTCGAGGCTGCAGAGGCGGCGGGGCTGCAGGCTGCGGCCGCCACTCAGCCGGCTGGGCAGGCGGCAGCGCTGCTGGCGGTGGAGCGGTCCGTGGCGGCTGCGCAGGCTCGAGGCGGGCCGCCGCTGGAAGATGCCCTTTTTCAGAGATGCGCTGCGCGCAGGCGCCCGCGATGTCCTCCTCGACGCCCGGGTGGCTGGCCGTGTCGGGGCTGTCCGGGATCGGCGAAGTGGGCGGCGGCTGGATCTTGGGCTGCTGCATGATGACCTGCGACGGGAGGGCTCTCTGGTGAGGGGCGAGCCGGCGCGATGAGGAGGCGCGCGGCGGCCGCGGCGGCCGCGCGCGCTGGGAGAAGGGCGGCCGGGCGGGGGCGCTGGCCACCGTGGCCTCGGAGAGGACCTGCATCTCGTCAAGACGCGCGTCGCGCGTGATGCGCAGCGGCGAGGGCGGCGCCGTGTCCGGACAAGAGCAGCGCCACTCAGCCGTGCACCTCTCACCCTTGCATACGGAGTTTCTCTTTTCTGGCCTCGCCGAGAGCAAATAGCGCCAGCTTGGTGGTGCTCTGGCGACTGTGCACAGTGGGCAAAGTCAGGCTGCAACAGGGCAGCACGTTGGTAGTGCCCTGCTGCAGCCTGGCCTGACATGCACAGCGCGAACAGAGGCGGTACTATCGTCCGGCGCTCGCTCGTCACCGAGTCGACTCGCATCGGTTGCCTCCATGAACGGCGGAGCTATTCTCGCGCCCACACCACACCTGGCTCCAACGTGGACACGCCCATAGCTGGGGACACTACTAGGTCACGCATGGCATCACAGAAGTTTTATCTCTGGGCCCCGAAAGGCATCTCTAGCAGTGTCGTTACACATGCCCCCTCCCCTCCTGGGCGCATGCGCCTCACGTCTCGCCAGAGCATAAGCCCTTGGCGTGTGGCGAGACGAGTTTTTCTCCATCGCAGCGAGCAGCAAGCCACCCGCCGCAGACAGCCGGAGGCCTCGCCGCGGCACTGGCTGCGCCGCGGTCCCGCACCCGTCGACGCAGCTCCCCCCGCGGAAGACCGCGCGTAGCAACGTCTTGACGATCGAGATGAGCGTGCCTGAAGCTCGCCCACCTACTGCCCCTGAGAGTTGGTTACGAGTGGGATCAGCTCCCCCCCTTGGGATCACAGCTTCCACGACCTCACACCCAACATCACAGGCGGGATCAAAAGGGGACTCCACACCGGACACCGCCCGGGCACAGACCCCCTACCCGTCGGATTGCACAGGGCCCCCTCGGAGCAGCCCACACACAATCACGCATCGGCAGATTGAGTGCCTGAGTCAGGCAGACAGCACAGACAAGGAGAGGAGAGAGAGAGGAGAGAGAGAGAGAGAGAGGGGAGAGAGGAGATGGTGAGGGAGTGTGCACGCGTGTGGAGCGGGGAGGGTGTCTGTGGTGGGCTGTAGTCCTACTACGTGGTTAAAACCACGCGCCCCTCAGGAGCTTAAGGTAGAGTGGAGCGTCCTAGACGCCTCAGTGCCTCCCACCGGGTGAGACCATCCGGATCTGCCCAGCGCGTCTCTCTCTCTCTCTCTCTCTCTCTGAGTGTGCTTGAAAATTTTTGCTTTTACTCCACGCTGGCGGCGACGGAGACCACGTCCTCCAGCACACACTGGGCTCTGCCATGGCGGCGCACGCCGGCGGCTCGCTCGTCGAGCGCCCGGTCGCCTTCACGACCGACTCGAAGCACATGATGTGCTGCTCCGGCGCCGCGGTGAAGCTCTTCTCATGCGAGACGGGCGCCCTGCTGCGGGTGCTCGAGGGCCACACGGAGGACGTCACGGCCGTCTCAAACGTGGCCTCCAACGTCTTCCAGGGGCTGTCGGCCGGCCTGGACGGCCGGATTCTGCTGTGGGATCTCGACGACGCCACCATCCTGCGCGCCTTTTGCGTGGGCCGACCCATCCTCGCAATGTCGCTGCACGCGACGACGCCTTCGACCGCCTTTGTGCTCACCAGCCCCGAGGGCAAGGCCGCGCCCGCCGGGACGCCGCGCTACGCGGAGGGGCTCGCACACGGGGGCCGGACCTACGCCGCCTCGCTCCGCGTGTCGAAGCGCAGCGCCAAGCGCGCCAAGGAGCTCGCCGCACGGAGCGGCCGCCGCGACGGCGACGGCGGCAGCGGGGACGGGGCGCTCGCCGCGGCAGCCGAGGAGGGGGACGAGCCGCTCGGGCCGGAGGAGGACGCGAGCGGCGCCTTCGGCAGCCTCGAGCGGCCGTGGCCCGCCGAGCTGCGCCCCCTCTTCCGCGCAAAGGCGACGGCGCTCGCCGTCGCGGCGTGCGGCGAGGAGAGCGCGTTTGTGGCGGCGGTGAGCGGCTCGTGGCTGACGGTTCACGACGTGGCGGAGCGGTCGACGGCGCACTTTCGGCAGCGTCGCGAGAAGCGCGCCGCCCTGCTCTGCGTCGCCCTCTCCCCCACCGAGCGCCTCGCCGCGACCGCCGACGAGCTCGGCCGCATCCATCTCTGGCGGATCGCGACGAGAGACGCGGCCGCGCGCGAGGCGACGGGCGCGAGCAGCTCAGATGGGGCGGCGCGGGAGATGCACTGGCACGCGCAGGCGCTCGCCGCGCTCTCCTTCTCCGTCGACGGCGGCCTCGTCCTCTCCGCCGGCCGCGAGGGAGTGCTTGTCTTTTGGCGGACGCACGGCGCAGAGCGCAACTTTCTGCCGCGGCTCGGCGCGCCGCTGCTCGGGATGACGCCGTCAGAGGACGGGGGCACGCTCGCGCTGCGCAGCGAGGACAACAGCGTGCAGCTCGTCGACCTCGGCGCGCGCTCCGTCCGCCGCGTCATCTACGGTGTGTCCCCTCCTCCTCCCCTCGCCCGCCCTCTCCTCCCCTCGCCCGTCTTCTCCTGCCCTGGCCCGCCCCCCCCCCCCCCCCTCCACGAAGGAAGGCTTTCCGGCGGCGCCGGCCCGGGGTGATTTATGACCCGCAGCGGCCGGGGCCGTCGTCCTGTTACGGGCGGCGGACGGCAGCCGCAAGCCCTGCAATGGTGGTCGCCCTCCCACCGACGCCCCACCTCGGGTTCGCTCGGGGGGGGCGCCCGCAAACCTGTACGGGTCGCTGCCGGCGGTGGGCTCGTCCAGGGATGCACGGCGCTCCTACCGAGGCACCGCCGCCGCCGGCGGCACTTTCGCGCCGCGGGTGACCGACGCCGCCCTCTCGGCAGACGGGTCGCACCTCGCCACGTTTGAGGTGCGCGCCAACGCCGAGCTGCGGCAGCACACGTGCCTCAAGCTCTGGCAGCAGCGGGACGGCGCTTGGACGCTCGTCACGCGCGTGCCCCAGCCGCACGCCGGCACCCTCACCGCTCTCACTCTCCACCCGACGCTGCTCATCGCCCTCACCGCCGCGCACGACGCAAAGTTCAAGCTCTGGGAGGCGATCCCCCCGGCGGCGCCGGCGCCGGGGCCGGGCGCCGCGGAGCCCGCGGCCGGGAGCAGCGCGCCCCTCCCCGCGGGAAGCGCGGTCGGCGGCTGGGCTTGCCGCTCCGTCGGCTTCTACCGGCAGAGCGCCGCGACGGCCGCCGCGTTTTCGTCGGACGGCTCGGTGATGGCGGTGGCGTACGCGCCCGACGTCATCACGCTGTGGGAGCCGCTCACCAACGGGCTGCTCGCCACGCTCTCTCAGCCGCTCGAGGCGTCGGACGGGTTCGTCTTCCTCGCCTTCCCGGGCGACGGCGGCACCCTCCTCGCGCACACCTCGCGCGCCGTCTTTTGCTTCTCGCTGCTCACGTCGCATGTGCTGTGGGCGTACCAGGCGCCCGAGGTGCTCGCCGCGGCGGCCGACCCGTGCTCCGACGCGACGCTCGTCGCGGTGGCGCTCGCGATGCCCTCCGCGCCGCGCAGCGCAGACGGCCGCTGCACCTCCTTTGCGATCCTCGAGTTCGACGGCACGTCGCAGGCGAGGAGCGACGGAGCGGCCGGCGCCGGCGGTGGCACGATGGGCGCGCCGCGGCGCGCGTGGCGCCTCTCCGAGGTCCCGCGCTCCGTCGGCTTCCTGCACGCGGAGGCGGGCGGACGCGGCACGCCGCTCTGCCTCGGCGCGGGCGGCGAGCTCCACTTCCTCGCCCCCGAGGGCCGCGCCGCCCCCGCCCCGGGCGAGCGGGGCGCGGGCGCGGAGGGCCGTTCGGCCGCGGCGCGGACGTCGCTGCGGCACGCGGCGCCGTCGCGGCTCGAGTCGATCTTTGGCGCCAACGCGGTGCCCGAGGAGCTGACCGCCGCGCCGGGCTTGCTCGGCATGGATGTGGAGGAGGAGGAGGCTGCCAGCGCGAGCGGCAGGCCGACCGCGGCGGCCGCCTCGCGCGCGCCCGGCTGGGAGGGGCGCGCTATCGACGAGTGGCTGGAGCGCAACCTGTCGCGCGTCCCCTCGCACCTGCTCCCGCCGGTGCGCGTGCTCTTCCCTCGCTTGCTGGGCGAGCTCGTGCTGCCGGCGCCTCACCTCGCCGCCGCCAACGGCGGCGCCGGCGCCGGCACCGACTCGCCCGAGCCCCCCTCGGAGCTCGAGCGTGTCCTCGCCGCGGCGGCGCACGCGCAGGGGCGCGGCGGGCAGTTCTCGCGCCTCGTCGAGCTGTATACGCCGGCGGTGCGCCGCGGCTCGCTCACCGCCGCGGAGCGGAAGCGGAAGAAGGCGGCGCTGGCTAGCGGCGGCGTGCCGGGCGACGCGGACGACGGGGCCGGCGGGGCGGCCAAGGCGGCTCTGGCAGAGGACCTGCTCTGCGGCGGTGGCGAAGAGGACGGGCCGGTCGCAAAGATGGAGGAGGAGGCGGCGGCGGACGAGGCGGGCGTGGACGAGGCGGGCGAGGGGGCCGAGGGCGGCAACGGCGCCAGCGGGGCTGGCGACAGCAACGGCGGCAGCGAGACGTGGCCTCCCCGAGGCTGGAAGCTTGCGCCGCTGGGCGAGCTGCCAAACCCAGGCGTCCGCCTCGCTCGGCCGCGCCCCTGCCGGCTGCGCACGCCCCTGACCGCCGGACCGCCCCGCGCGCAGGCTACCTCGTCCGCGAGCTCGGCGACCTCCGCGAGGACGAGGGCTTGGGCTGGGACGGCGAGGGGCCTCCGCCCGGCCTCTCGGCCGCCGACGCGGCCTTTTGGCGCGAGCACGCGATGGGGTCGGAGGCGCTCGACGCGATCTGCTCGCTCGCGGCCGAGGAGGGCGGGACCGGGGCGGCCGCCGACGCCGCGGCGGGGGGCGAGTTGCTCGTGTGGGACGCCGAGGACGAGAGCCCGCACGAGATTTGGCAGCGCGTGCTCGCCTCCGGGGACTTGGCGGGCGTGCAGCTCCCGGGCGCGACCGCCGAGCACCGGCTGGCGCGCGAGATCCAGGAGGCGGAGGAGCTGCTCAGCCGGGCGGGCCTCGACGCGGGCGCGTGCGGGTACGGGATCGCGCGCGGGCCGATGCCGCCCGACATGCGGCAGCCGCCCACGCCCGGCTGGCAGCACGCGCCGACAAAGCTCGAGCTCAAGGCCCTGGCGGCCGAGCTGCGCGAGCAGACGCGGGGCGGCGGCGCGCACGCCCACCTCGACGTGCTCGCCGCGGGGCTGCTAGCCTCCAACTCGCGCGTCGCACGCCGTGCCGCCGCGGCGGGCGCCGGCGAGGCGGCGACAGGGTGAGCGCCCGGCAGCGTGCGCGGCGTTGGTTGAGAGCGTTAGAGCGGAGAGGGAGGCGGTGTGCTGGCGTGGAGGGCAGGAGGTGCTTGCGGAGGGGCTGGACGGCGCCAGAGTCCTGGTATATACGTGAGATTTCTCGGGGCAAAAACCCGGCAGCGACACGCGACACGACACGCCGACAGGGCTCACAGGGGTACGACATAGAGCCGTACCGGTGGCGCGCGCTGGCACTAACACAGAATTACGACGCGTCTCACCAGGATATACACGACACACATTTCAAATCCCTTGTTTGGCACACAGCGCTGGTACTACCTGGTACGGCTCACCGCCCCAGCGCCCATGCCTCGATCTTCTTGGGCAGCAGCAGGTCGTCAACGGGGGTGACAACCTCCGACAGGTCCTCTCCGTGGCCTAGGCAGCCATGTTCGCCCCTGCCCCAGCTCCAGACGGCGCCGTCGGCGGTGACGGCGAGGTTGTGGTACTCCCCAGCCGAGACAGCGACGACACGCTGGCCAACAAACGCGTCGATCTTCTTGGGCAGCAGCTGGTCCTGTGTGCCCCGAGCGTACCGCCACCAGCGGGCGCGGCCGTGGCCCAGCTGGCCATAGCCTCCATAGCCCCAGCTCCAGACGGCGCCGTCGGCGGTGACGGCGAGGCTGTGCGCGTATCCAGCCGACACAGCGACGACGCGCTGCCCAGCAAACGCCTCGACCTTCTTGGGCAGCAGCTGGCTCTGCAGGTCGCCGTGGCCCAGCTTGCCAAGGACTCCCCAGCCCCAGCTCCAGACGGCGCCGTCGGCGGTGATGGCGAGGCTGTAATCCCCTCCCGCCGACACACCGATGACGCGCCGCCCCGCCAACAGCTCGATCTTCTTTGGCAGCAGCTGGTGCTGCTCGTCGCCGTGGCCCAGCTGGCCACAGCTTCCATCGCCCCAGCTCCAGACGGCGCCGTCGGCGGTGATGGCGAGGCTGTGCGTACTAGCCGAGACAACGACCACGCGCTGGCCAGCAAAGGCCTCGACCTTCTTGGGCAGCAGCTGGTTCTGCTCGTCGCCGTGGCCCAACTGGCCCCAGGCTCCAAAGCCCCAGCTCCAGAGAGAGCCGTCGGCGGTTGGGCGAGGCTTCCAGCCGAGACAGCGACGACGCGCTGGCCAGCAAAGATCTCGATCTTCTTTGGCTGCCACTGGCTCTGCTCGTCGCCGTGGCCCAGCTGGAATCCCTTACCCCAGCTCCAGGCGGCGCCGTCGGCGGTGACGGCAACGCTGTGACTATTGCCAACCGACACGCTGACGGCGCGCTCGTCACCCAGCGTCGACGGAAGGCGGGTCGGTGTGTTGAGCTGCAGCACGCCCTCGCCGTGGCCGAGAAGGCCTGCAAATTCCTCCTCGTCCTCCTCCTCCTCCACCACCACCACCTCCTCCTCCTCTTCGCCCTCCCTTGCCGCTGACGACCCGCACGATGAGAGCCGCCCCTCGCCGTCGATGAAGAGGCTGTGCTGAGCGCCTGCCGCCGCCCTCGCCGGCGGGTTGGACTCGCACAGCAAGGCATAGTAGCACAGCCACCGCACGGCGCAGCTCTCGCCCTCTGGCTGCGCCGGCGGCTCGTAGCCGGCCTCTTGCAGGCGCAAGCGGATGCCCGCCTCAGCGAGAGAGGCGTGGAAGAGAAGCGAGACGGCCGCGACGCAAGCGATGTCGATGGGGTCGCAGCGCGAGAGGGCGCGCTCGAGGAGGTCCGTGGGGAGGTTGAGGAGGCGGAAGGGCGGCGGCGTGCTCGGCGAGGGGGCGGCGGCGGCTGCGGCGGCGAGGCCACCTGAGCGGCGCGGCGACGCGGACATTGTGAGGAAAGAATTTTACAAGCAATTCCGGAACGCACGGGATGGCCTTCGAGCGCTCGACCACACTCCTACCTCCCCAGAAATCCCGAGGAGGCGCACAGCGCCTAGATATGTCTTGTGTTGCTGTGTGCTGCACGCCCTGCGAGCGGGGCGGGGTGCGCACTGTCCCTCTGTGTTCGTGCCGTCTGAACCACAGCGTGTCCCGACTCGCTCGACCGCCGGCGTCCCGGTCCGGGGGTGTTTCTCTTCTTATCCGTTACCATGTAGAGCAAGGTCGAGGGCGGGCCCTTTCGGGCTCGGGCCGCCCTCTCGCCCGCACCTCTGCGGGGCTTGCACGTGGCAGCGGCGGCTCAAGATCCCAGCGATCTCGAGTTCTTCACGCTATCCACTGCGCCGCGGCTTCGCCGCGCCCATCCAAGCCCAGGGCTTGGTTTGCTGATACCCGCATCTCGCTCTGCGCATCTCTGAGGCTACCCGCGCGCCGACTGCTACGCGCGCGGCGAGAGGCGCACCCCATCGGGGACAGGATTGAGGCCCCTGTACAAGCTCGGCAACGCTGCCGTCGTTGCCCTCCCGAGCCCTCAACACGATGCCGCACATTGCGCAACCCGTTCTGCGCACATGCCGCAGGGAGGAGTTTTCACTCTGCCGTCCGAGTTTCTCCTTCCTGCAGGGCGAGAGACATCAGCCTCTCTACTTCCAGGAGAACATCTACGCCACACGCTACCCCGACGGTCCACAACCCACACTCTCGCTGCAGTCGATCCAGCCCTCGCACTCCCCACTGGAGATCTAGCCGAGGCCCCGGCGGACAGGATTGGAGCCCCTGTGCTGCGTCTGTGGTGATATGTGGGGGACACTTTCTCCTCCCTATTCATGTCAGTCACTCGACTGCGTCGAGGGGGGGGACGTCTGAACCACAGCGTGTCCCGACTCGACCGCCGGCGTCCCGGTCCGGGGGTGTTTCTCTTCTTATCCGTTACCATGTAGAGCAAGGTCGAGGGCGGGCCCTTTCGGGCTCGGGCCGCCCTCTCGCCCGCACCTCTGCGGGGCTTGCACGCGTGCGTCGCCCATCTCTCGTCGCCCATATCACTCAATCTATCTCTTGCGCGCACGCCCGCATTGCAGTGTGCGCACGCGCTGGGAGTGGAGGTGGCGCATCACCTGACGGCGTCGGGATGGCGCTCCGACACCAGGAGCGCGAGCGCGTTTATGCCCTCGTAGGAGCGCCGCACAGAGCCGAGCGTCGGCCGTGGTAGCTCGAGGTAGGTCGTGTCGAGTCGGATGCGCAACTCGCCCGCAGCGCTTGGTGAGCTGGCATCGAACTTGCGCGGCGACCTGCCCTACGAGTGCACACGAGAGGCCGTCCGGTGAGGTGGTCGAGCTGGGGGACACGCCGCTGGGTGCATCGGCCCTCGGCATTATGGTGCACAACAGGGCTGTTTGGCGTCTCGCGGGCAGGGGTTGGGCGTTGCGCGCACATGAGGAGCCATGACTTCGTCCAGCGGACCTGTCCCGGTCGTCGATGGACGGCGAGAGGGCGGTCTCGACACGTTATGAGTTGTGACCGGCGCGCGAGGACGCCCGCGGCGACGCGAGGGACAGGGAGCTCGAACCCTGAATGGACCCGCCGAGGCGCAATGGTGGTCCTCCTGCGTTGTGTGGCCGAGACACGCTTCTCAGTCATGTTTGGTCTCTCCTTCCTGCAGCAGCTCGCCGCCGCCGCCGAAACAAAGGACCGGCTCGTCTGCACGCGTGCACATTCGCCTTGCCATGTGTTTGACGCTTCAGCCGCGTGCGAGGAGCGCGCGGCGTGCCTGCTGCGGCGCGCCTCGGTGCGCGTGCTCGGGCTCCACCCCGACGAGGTGCTTAGTTACGCCTCTGCCATCGGCCTGCTGACGAGCGTCCACGTGGCCGTGGTCCTCGTCTGCGTGCTCTCGTCGTCCGAACACAAGCGGTGGCGCAGCTCGGACGTGGCGCTGTGCTTCAAGCTCAACGCTTACTACGTCCGACATTCGTGGGTGCGGCACGCCAAGCGCGCAACCATCTTCATCTACCTGCTCGCCACCTGCGCCGGCCTCGCCATCGCCATGCGGGAGGCGGTGGTACTCGACTATGCGAGCTCGCAGCTGGTGCCGATGGCGCTGGGTGTGGTCACGCTCTCGCACATGCACTCGCCGGCGCGCGGCATGGAGCGAGTCGCCTACTCGGTGTACCAGGCGCGGCTCGAGGGGCTGCTGTTTAGGTGGAGAGACCTTGGACTCAGCGCGCCGGCTCTGCTCACTGCGAAGCTGCTCGAGGCCACGCTGCAGGATGCGGAGGACGCTTCGCGGGAGAAGCTCGAGGCGCTGGGACCGGCTGCCACGTCAAAGCCGGTGCACTGGGAGAATATGTTGCGGTGACGCGCCCGCGCGAGAGCAGCGGGAGTCGGGCCGAGTCTGGGTTGGGTTCGGTGTGCGAGTGCGTGTCCGCGGCGACTGTGCGTTGCTCGCACTGGAACGGTGAACCGGCATTTTCCCCTGAGCTCTAAAGCGCGTGTGTGAGTGTGTACCGTACGCTCCTACGGCGAATCACAACTCAGCGCAGTACTCACGACTCACGTAGACGCGGTATGGGTATCTCAGCAGCACGCACGGCACATGGTCACGCCTTCGCCGCCGCGCTTCCCCTTGCCTTCGCGGCGACCTCGAGGTCGAGCGCCGCCTGTATCGTGGGCTCCAGCTCCTCCAGCCTGCGCGCCGCCTCGTGCGGAAAGTCATCGGGCATCACGCAGAAGGCCTTGTCCGCCTTGGCGTACGCCGGAATACGCCGGACCTCGCCGAGGGCGTACCGAAGCTGTTCGGCAAAGCTGCGACCGACAGCCGCCTCAGTCGGGCGCACGGTCCATCCGAGCGGCTGCCTGCCGGTCTGCTTCTGCCAGGTGAGGCAGGTGCGCATATGAAGCTGAGGCTGCTGCACGACGGCAACCGCTGCCGTCTGATCGTCGAGCCCGAGCACGCGCAGCGTCGCGCGTGAGAACTCGACGTTCGTGCCCGTGTGCGTGGACGCCGTCTCGAGATACACGTAGGCGGTGCCGCCGTCACGGCGACGGCTGGCGGTGGCCGTGTCGTCTTTGCCGTCGGCCATCGGGTTGCCTCCAAAAGCGACACAGTCTCCCAGGCCGCGCTCGCGGCAGCGCGAGAGGAAGAGCTCGAGGAACACGTCCGCCTCGCTCGCGTATGCGCGCAGCGCCTCGGGCGCGAGAGTGAGATCAAAGCCGTCGAGCACCGGCTTCGAGGAGATGCCTTGGGCGGG